TCTGGAGTTTCAGATGGTTGTGAGCTCCCACGTGGAGGCTGGGGTTGGACCTGGGTCTCTGTAAGAGCATTATGTTCTCTTATCTGCTGAGTTATTTCTTCAGCCTCCAAAAATTGAAATACAGTATTTCAGGTCTTTTTCTATTTGAAGACAGGGTGTCATGTGGTCCAGTCTGTGGGTTTGCTATGTAGCCAAGGATGATCCTGATTCTGATGCTCTGCTTTCACATTCCCAGGGCCCTGTTTATGTGGTTTTGGGTTGAAATCATTGCCGCTGTGCATGGCGCCACAGTCTTTAAAACCAGCAGTTGGGAAGCAGAGGCAGGTGGTTCTCTATGAGACTACATAGCAAGTTCGAAGCCAGCTACGGCTATATAGTGAGACCCTGTCTAAACAAACAAACAAACAAACAAACAAACAAACAAACAAACAAAACCCACTAAACTAAAACTAGAGCAAAACCCAAAAATTCATATTCATTTCATTTGTTTTTCCTTTTTTTTTTGAGACAAGATTTCTCTTTGTAGCCTTGGCTGTCCTGGACTCACTTTGTAGACCAGGCTGGCCTTGAACTCACAGAGGTCCACCTGCCTCTGCCTCTGGGATTAAAGGTGTGCACCATTGCCTGGCTCATATTAGGATTTTGTGTAAAAGAATCTAAGTTTAGGGATTTTGAGCATGGGTGATCTATTTAGGTTAACATTATTGTAAGTTCAGTGAATGTTCTGTCCCCTCTTCATGTAGCCATATTGAACAAGTTTGCGTATTAAGCACACATTTATGTATTGGTATGCATTTATGCAGCTTTTTCATTTAATGTCTTCACTTGCCTGTTCTACCTCTCCCCATAGGCTGCTCAGTCTTGAGTGATTTCTTAGCGCACATACAAAAAATAAAAACCGTTTGATCATTTTGATCCTTAAGGGATTAATTGGTAACAAATCATGAGACTCCTGGCTTCCTGAGCAATTTTGTTTTACAGGTTATATGTAGAGATTGTCTGATTTAGCACACCCATGAGGTGGGATCCTTGCTGCTTTTCCATTCATGTAATTAACAAGTATTTTGAAGCCCTAACAAGTAAGCCTTTCTCTGCCCTTCCAAACCAAGACGGCACCATAGGATTTGACTCAAGAAGCATTGAAAAGGTACTCATACACACACTAAGGCTGTATACACCAGGTTCCCTACTTAGATTTTACTGCTGCTAAGTAAATTGTTTTTAATCTTTGTAATGAAATCTCTCTGTTAATAGGATTTTGGTATGTTCCAGACCAAAGGCAAGACAGTGCTAGGACAGTCAGGTCCATCTGCAGAGGCCAAACTCTCAGCAGTCGGAGCTCTAGAATTAGATTTGTTTTTCCTGCTTGGCTTGTAAATAGGTTTTATTACAAACCTTCACATTATTCCTTTCTTGTTCACGCATTATCCTTCCAAACAAATGAGCTTGTCTAACTCAGAGTGGCAGAGCCATCTCCTCTCCCAGGCAATTCCTTTACTCTTGTTGGAAAATGCTAGTTTACTCGGCCATTGTTAGCACATTTGAGATTATGTTTTCTATAAATAAAAATAAATGGCATTTTTACTAGGAGACAAATATCCTGAAGGGAAATTTTAAGTGCATAGTTGCCTGTGATTTTCAAGTAGTTGTCAGCAGTCTGACTTAGATCTGTTTATCAGGGTTTTATTATGGCTTTCGGGGAGGAGAGAACAGCTTGCCTTTGGCTTCCAACAAAGACAGAAAGAAATCAGGTTTATTAGGAAATGAGGAATGTTTTACCTCTGCACTTTGTACAGGATTGCAGAATGTTTCATTTTTTATAAATGTTTTTTATAAATTATTTATTTGTAATATTTTGTTTATAAATGTTTGCTGAGGATGGCCCAGCAAAACCTGCTAAGGGATTGTGTCTTTGCAGGAGGCAAGTTACTTGGTTGGATTCTTTTTGTCATTTTTTCTAAGATGCTGTCTCACTGTATGGCCCAAGCTGGCCTGAACTCACTGGATTTACACCTGCCTCAGCTTCTAAGTGCTGGACTTACAGGGCTGAATCACTCTACCTGAACATATAGTTTCTGTTGTCTTTCTTCTACATGATATATTGATGTGGCTTTTGAAATACTAAAGGCTAAACAGACTTTAAGACGGCTAGTTAATGTAGGGACAGAGTTACTCTTTCTCAAGGCAAGGTGACGTACAGAGTATTATGATAGTTAGGTTCTCATCACTGTCACAACATACTTGGCTCATAATTTCAGATATGTGGCTACTTTGTTTACAGCTGTCCCCTGCCATCTCAGACAGGGTTTCTCTGCGCAGCCCTGGCTGTCCTGGAACCAGGCTGGGCTCAGACTCAGAGGACCACCTGCCTCTGCCTCTCAAGTGCTGGCATTAAAGATGTGTCCGCCACCGCTGCCCAGCTAATAATGTTCATGGGCTTTTTTTTTTTGTAAAGATTTATTTATTACACACACAATGTTTTGTCTGCATGTACAACTACACGCCAGAAGAGGGCAACAGATCTCATCATAGATGGTTGTGAGCCACCTTGAACTCAGAACCTCTGGAAGAGCAGCCAGTGCTCTCAACCTCTGAGCCATCTCTTCAGCCTCCATCTGTGGGCTTTTTAAAGGAATAATTCTTTATGATTTTTATGTTTGAATATACGTGTACTGCATGTATGTAGTACCTGCAGAAACCAGAAGAGGGCATAGGAGCCCCTGCAGCACAATGGTTAGATAATTATGAGCTTCCATGTAGATGCTGGGAATGGAACCCTAGGTTCTCTGCCAAAACAAGTGCACTTAACCACTGAATTGTCTTCTCTCTAGTCTCATAGGCTTTTGCCAAGGCAGAACATCATAGTTTTGAGTATATGTGGTAGCTGGGGAAATGGGGGAGATGTTAAGATGCAGGAGACAAATGCATTTCACAAGTGTGTGTGTGTGTATGCCTGGGTGCAGCGCCTCAGTGGGTGGAGGTAGAGCACAGCATGTGGGAGTCAGTTCTTCCCTGCCTGCTGGGTCTCGGGGTGGAGTGCAGCCCATCAGGATTGGCAAGACGCACTTGCACCCAGGTGTCTCCCTGGTTGCTGGAGACGTTTTAGAGTATACAGTATGCAAAAGGGACAGTTTACGGTCCCAGATGAATGGTTAGGTAATTGTTAGACCGAGTCTGAACTTGTCACTTCTGTGAACTGCGCTAGTCAGCGTCTTGTCTGGAGCTGTAATGGCTCGTGAGTGAGCTCCCTATCTTTGCCTTTCCCCTCTAGCGTCTTCTCCAGAGGGCAAGATATACCTGGAACGTGACGCTATGCTACTCAGGCTTCTATGTTACAACCCAGGTTTCGTTCTGTCACCTAGGAAGTCCTATAGGATTTGACTCCTATCTGCAGCTGCGCTGCCTTCCGCACACTCACAGTGAGGCTTGGTGCCTGTAGTTCACATTATCTGGCTGTTCTTGCTGGAGGCACCTCCCTCACAGGCTCGATGCCGACGTTGCTTACCCTGAGAGTTCCCTTGGCCGGGTATGTTAGGGCAGACTAGCAATCTCCGCATTGGTAGTGGCAGGGGTTTGAGTTGGAGGTCAGCCCTGGCTATGTAGGAAGGTCGAGGCTAGCCTGAACTACATAGACTTTGTCTCAAACACAAAAGATTGAGGGGCCCTGTGGTGGTGGCACACACACTTAATACCAGCACTTGAGAGGCAGAGGCAGGCAGACTTTTGAGTTTGAGGCCAGCCTGGTCCACAGAGTGAGTTCCAGGTCAGCCAGAGCTACATGAAGAAACCCTGTCTTGAAAACTCAAAAAGCAAAAGCCAAACAAATAAACAAAAGAAATAAAACCCAAGGGATTGTAGCTACGGGGTAGAGTACTTGCCTGGTACATGCAAGGCTTTGAATTTGATCTCCCGAGAACAAAAGAACATCTCTCATTTTTTGGGGCATTTTCTTTTTCCTTTTGGGAAGTGAGCCTAGAACCTCATATGTGTGCTGGGCAGGAACTCCTTAATCACTCCTTACTCTTCTTTCTTTTACTTTTTCTTCATGCAGTTTGAAAATAAAATGTGTGTGTATTTATGTATGAATGTGTTTGTACACATTTATATGTATGTATAAAATGATTGTATTTGTGTTTTCCTGTAGATGACAAGTTTTATGAGGTCAGGGTATGCATCTTTACTTTTCTTAGCCCTTTAGTTGTGTCCTTGGTGCCTGCTGTATGAGTGTGTGCAGATATTTGTGCAGCCATAGGCCTGCCCCTTGTGAATGTAGAGTAACTCTTCAATTCAGAAACTAGGAAGAAAAACTCAAGGCATTACTTTTTTTTTTTTTAAAGCTGATAGAAATGATTACTTTATATAAGACCTATTCTTTATCAAAAAAATATTTTTCATTTAAGATGAAGACGATGACTTTGTATGTAAAAAGGCAGCTTCCAAATCAAAAGAGAATGGAGTATCTACAAATAGTTACCTTGGAGCATCAAACATGAAAAAGAATGAAGAAAACACTAAGACTAAGAATAAACCTTTATCACCAATAAAACTGACACCAACATCAGTGCTCGATTATTTTGGAACGGAAAGTGTCCAGAGATCTGGTAAGAAGATGGTGGCAAGCAGGAGAAAAGAGGTGAGTGTTCTGCATGCACATGAGATTGTGAGGGTTTCTGGGTGTGCTGGTGTGCACCTATGTTTTTAGCACTTGGAAGACAAGAAGATCATTAGGTTGAGGTCAGCCTGGGCTACATAATGAGACTACCTGAAACAATAGCAAAAACAATGTTTGGGATTGATACCCATCACAGATACCAAGGATAGGGAAGCCTTGTGCCATCATCCTTTTATTGATTTGCCAATGTTATAGGCCACTTCGAAAACCAAAGCATTAACCTATAGTGTGCATGTGCACATGTGTGCGCTCTTCTCTTGAACATGTCAACAAAGTGAAAGCCACCTGTCTGTAGGGTGTTAATGAAATTGGCCATTATCAGAACAGCCATAAACCTGACTTTGTGGCTGCTGTGGATTGTGGCCTCTCTCTCACTGATATGTTTAGTCAGGTGTTGCCAAAAATAAGAAATTTATTTTTAGCCTGATTTATGCTTGTCTTGCTTGATTTTCTTTGGAATACAGTCTTCTGAAAACACAGATGACTCCAGATTCAATGATGAGGCCATCGCCACACAGTTGCAGCTTGATGAAGATGCTGAGGTACTGCCATTCCACTTACTTATTATTAATAGCTTGATGTTATAACTTGGTACTTATTTTAGCCAGGCAAATCGTCAAGGTGGTTTTAGTCTTTTTCTGTTTTTGAATAAGGCCTTACTGTCTGTCTTTCTATCTATGTAGCCAAGGCAGGGCTAGAACTCGCTGTGTAGGCCAGGCTGGCCTTGAACTTACAATTCTGCCTTAGTTTCCTGAGTGTTGGCATTACAGTAGTGCACAGCCATGCTTAGCTCAAGATTGTTTAATTCTTCTATTTTGAGCCTCATTAGAAGTTCGGTGTAAAATTAAAGTATATGGGAATATAAATTCCTGTAAAAGGTAAATGATGAGACTAACAGATAATTATTTATGTGAAAGTTTTGAAGTTCTGTGCATAGGAGGCTCCTTAGTGCATTTGAAAGAATTTAATTTGCTCCTGTCTCTCTTTGCCTTCACTGTTAGCACACTTCCCCTTTTCCATGGCCTTAGTAATGGTATATGATGGTGACTTAGAAGTCTGTGTGATTGAGGATATTCCCTTGAGATGTAAACCCATATCTGACCAGGATTTATTGATCACTTACTGAGTGCTTAGCACTGCAGTAGGTGGTTGGTGATTACAGTTTAAGTAGAGAACAAAGGAGGGTAACCAAATGCCAGAAGATTACAGGCATGGTGAAGAAGAGTGCATGCATGGTTCCGGGGTGTGAAGGGGATGCGTTGTGTCAGAAAGTGAAGCCCAGTGGCCAGTGCTTGGGTACTCAGATCCCCACTAAGCACAGAACAGCAAGTGCATGCCTTACGAGGAGGAAGTGTGCTCAGGAGACCAGTACGGCTGGACAAATGAGTGAGAAGAAAGTTATGAGGTGACTTGGAGAAATGGCCCTCAGCAAGTCCTGTAGGTCACAATGGGTCTTTGATACCCAGGAAAAGGACTTTGATTGGTCAGAACTTCAGATTTAGTTTCTGTGAGATGGGACATCACTGGAGTTTTTAATGAAGTGATGTGAAGTGGTGGGTCTTAAAAGCACACTGGCTTCTGTAATGCATACAGGGTATTGAAGTAGTGGACATGAGCAATAACAGACCAGCTCGGAGACTGATAAGGCCTAGCAGGTGGGAAATGTTGGCTTTTATCAGATTGGAAGTGGAAGAGAGGGTGAGAAGTGACGCGAGAGCTGCTGATAGATTTGAAGTAAGGAAACCTGATAGCTGGATGAATGGTGATGCTATATGAAGACCAGAATACAGGATACAGAGGCCATTACTACAGAGAAGCTAAGAGTTCTGTTATGAGGGCTGCTGAGAAGGCTTACTGAGAAGCCTTGCCACCTGAATTTGATCTCTGGGACCCATGCATAGGCAGAAGAAAAGTTGTCTGAGCTCTACCTGGACACCCATGAACACACACACAATAATAAAGAAAGAGTTCTGTTTTTACAGTTGCAGATGACTTCTAGGTGAGATACTGAGGAGTTATGGGAGGAGGCAAGTCTGGCGCTCAGCTGAAGCGGTACATTTGGAAGTCATAGCATTTGTGTGGCACTTAATACTAGTATACTTGTGTGACACCTTGGGGAGAGAATGTAAACAAAAGAGGAAAGAATGGAGCTGGGTGGTGGTGGAGGCTGCAAACACCTTTAATTTCAGCCTTCAGAGGCAGGTGGATCTCTTGAGTTCAAGGCCAGCTCGGGTTTTGGGATAGCCAGAACTGCACAGAGACCCTGTCTCAAAAAACCAAAACCAAAACCAACCAACCAACCAAACAAAACAAAATTCCCCAAACAAACGAGGAGGAAGAATGTTTTTGGATTGAACGCTGGGGTGCTGTAAACATTTAGAGCTGAAGAGGAAGCTCTAGCCGAGGAGACTAAGAGAGTGCGAATGAATGAGGAGAACTGATGTTTGCAGATGCTGAGTGGCGCTCATGGGAGTGCTCCGCTTCTGAAGCTTCACATTTAGGGTTCTGTACAACCCCTTCACTGTTCCTTAGAGTTGGTGTCTTTTCCCCCTCAACTCCAAAACTGTTACAGTTTATTGAAACTGTGATGTAAATGCCTTCTAAGCGAGCTTTCAGGTTCTGCCCCAGGGCAGGTTCTGACTTTGCTTGTTGCAGTGCTCGTTTCCTTACCCTGACACTTCACACTTGGTGTTCTAAAAATATGCTTCAGCTGGGTGTGGTGGTGCACACCTTTAATCCCAGCAGAGGCAGGCAGATCTCTAGAGATTTTGAGGCCAGCCTGGTCTACATAGTAAGTTCCAGGCCAGCCAACACTAGGTAGTGAGATTCTGTCTCAAAACAATAACACAAACTAAAATAGAATATCTTCCTGTCTTTGGTTGTATCTAGTTATATTATCTCTAACCAGGTGTCCTGATGACTCAGGACAGCACAAGTGGCCCAGGTCAGCTGTGAAGCTGTCCTTAGGAGTCTGACTTGCCTTATCTGCCCCAAACAGTAGAGGATTATCTAGTTCTTTCCAAAGAACCCAAGGGTATCACAGGCCCCTGTTTTCCTGTTTCTGTCACATTCCTTTAGCTCTTTGAGTAATTTATTAATCTAATGAAAGACTTAGGTGTTAATAATTGATAGTCTTTCCTGGTTATCCTCTAAGAGTTCCATCTTGTTTTACCTTTCTTCATTTATGGTAACTCTATGTTCATTATCTAATACTCAAGTCAGTATATTAACTGCCACATTAAGCCAGTTACATTAAACATTCTGTTAAAATGAAGGGTTCTTTCTTACATGCTGTAATCAATCACCATTAATAAGTCTCTTCTCTCTCTTTCTCTTTCCCCCGAGATAGGGTTTCTTTGTGTAGCTTTTCTGTTCTGGAACTAGCCCACTAGGCCAGGCTGGCCTAAATTCACAGAAATCCACCTGCTTCTGCCTCCTGAGTGTAGGGGTCAAAGGTGTGCACTACCATGCCCTGAATTTTCTTTCTTTTTTTTTCAAGGCAGGGTTTCTCTGGTACCAAGGGTGTAGCCTTGGGTGTCCTGGATCTCCCTTCATAGACCAGGCTGGCCTCAAACCCACAGTGATCTACCTGCCTCCTGAGAGCTGGGATTAAAGGTGCGCACCACTGCCGCCTGGTAAAGAGAGCATGTTAGTTCCTCTTAAAACAGCCAGAACCTTTTCCCTTACACTACAGAGCGTGGTAATGTGGAGAAGTGATAGCAAGTTCAGAAACCCTTAGAGGCAGACCAGTAGAGTTTGCAGCTCCTTCTGTGATTGATTTTAGCAGTTAGGTGCGTAGTTCATTTGTAGAGAAGAAATACTAGTAAAGGGAGCATGGAAGGGTACCCTGTCTGCTTCATTACAGCCCAGCTTTGCATGGGTTCATACATTTGGGGTTTTTGTTTGTTTGGTTTTTGGTTTTTAGAGACAGGGTTTCTCTTTGTAGCCTTGGCTGTCCTGGACTCACTTTGTAGACCAGGCTGGCCTCAAACTCAAGAGATCTGCCTGCCTCTGCCTCCCTGAGTGCTGTGATCACAGGTGTGTGCCACCACGCCTGGCTCATACAGTTGAATTTTTTTTTTTTTTTTTTTTTTTTTTTTTGGCTACTGGGGATGAAATGCAGGGTCTTGCACACCCTAAGCATGTGGTCTCTACCAGTGAGCTACTTTCCAGTGTAACTAGTTCATTCTTTACCAGGAAGATAGTTTTTAACTATCTCCTCTTTGAATAATATAGGCTGGTCAGTTAGGTTTACCGGTGCAGATGAAATGTGAAGTTATAATGAGAAGCCTATTTCATTGTTTCATATTCAGTTCCGTTTTGCTGAAAATACAAGCATTTGTTAATGATAGGTGCTTATCATGTCTGTGTGTTGATAGATGTGTGGCAGTAAAAAGGGTGTTGGTACTTGTGTGTTCTTACTCTTGTGCACAAAGAAAATAGATACCTTTCTGTAAATTTTGAGGTTATTTTATATGTATAAGTGTTTTGCCTACATGTATATCTGGACCACATGTGTGGCCCGTGTTGTAGAGCCCAGAAGAGAGAGTAGGATTCCCCTGGAACTTGAGTTACAAACAGTTGTGAGCTGCCTTGTGGGTGCTGGGAATTGGAGTAGGGTCCTGAAGAGCATTCACTTCTCTTAAGTCATTCACTGCTCAGCCATCTCTCAATATTAAATAAAAATTTAAATTTCATAGATTTATGGTTTGTGTCTCACGGACGCTGTCTTTCTTCCAGAGGGAGGTATTTAGAAAGCGTTATTATTTTTAGGTGTAGGTGTGTGTGTGGGGTCAGCCCCTGTGGGTGCAGCCGCCTGTGGGGTAAGGGCCGGCACATCTCCTTGGAGCTGGAGTGGCAGCTGTGAGCCTCCAGCATCGGTCCTGGGGAGCTGAGCTGGGCCCTCTGCCAGAGCAGTGTGTGCTCCCAACTGCCAAGCCATCTCTTCAGCCCCTTAGGTTCAGGTTCATTCCAGAGACGCTTCTAGAGGGTAAAATACATGTAAGTAGCTTGGGTATGTTGAACACACTTTTAACCGTAGTACTCATGAGGCAGAGGCAGGTGGATATTTGTGAGTTCAAAGCCTGGTGTACACAGCAGGTTCCGGATCATCTAGGACCTTGTGATGAGATACTGCCTTCCACAAAAGGTGGCTGGGAAGGGGATAAGCCAGGCATGGTGGCACATGCCTTTAATCTCAGCTCAGCGTTTTGTAGGCAGAGGCAGGCAGCTCTGTGAGTTTGAGGCCAGTCTGGTTACACAGTGACTTCCAAGCCAGCCAGGGCTGTATAGCAACCCTCAAAAAAAAAGTGGGTGGACGAGGTTGGGCTAGTGCTGCCTTTGTAGAGGTCATTCTGTAGACCAGGCTAGCACTGAACTCGAGATCCACCTGCCTCTGCCTCCCAAGTGCTGGGATTAAAGGTGTACACCATCACTGCCCAGCAGAAAAACAACTCTTACAAGTTGTCTTCTGACCTCTTCATGAGTGCCATGGCATGAATACCACATATACGGTAAAGAGATAAAAATGTAATAAAGAAATACATTTAAAATATGGCAGCTTCATTATGCTGCAGATCTAGAAGTTCATAGTACATAACATAAATTGTGATTTAGTGAAATAACTTTGTGATACTTGACTGTTAATGTTTAGTGCGAAGATGTCATTATTTTTAGGAAGTTTTTCTGGTTTCTTCTATTAACCACACATTTAAAAGCTTTTAGGTACAAAACCCAAAAGCATCTCACTGTGTTGGTGCTTTTCACAGCTGGAGAGGCAGTTACATGAAGATGAAGAGTTTGCTCGAACATTAGCCATGTTGGATGAAGAACCCCACACCAAAAAGGTAGTATTATGGTATTATGATGTTGGATTGCTTACTTGCGTATGAGTGCGTGTAGGCCAGAGGCAGACATCAGCTCTTGTTCTCCACCTTAGCTGAAAGTGGAGCTCACCATTTCCTGTAGGTCAGCTGAGGAGTGAGCCTCCAGAGCGCTCCTGTCTCTGCCCTCCGCAGCACTGCAGTTACAGCAGGCACTGCCATGCCTGGCTTCCCATGGTGCTGGGAATCAGAACTCGGCGTGCAGTGGGTGGGGTGGCTAAGTCATCCTGCCGGCTGAATTGTTTCAGGTGAGTGTGTGCGTGTGCGTGTGCGTGTGCGTGTGCGTGTGCGTGTGTGTGTGTGTGTGTGTGTGTGTGTGCGCGCGCGTGTGCTTGAAAACTCAGTCACAAAGTTATCCTTTCTGAAAGGTTTCAAAAAATAAAGCAGAACTTGCCCCATAGTGAGTTTTGCCTTTATTCCTTATCAGAAGGGATTTTTGTGTGTTGTTTCAGAGTAGTAAGTGTCAGTTCCTACAGAGGGTAGGTTTAATGGATAAAATACTCTATTCAGGAAGAAAAATCTCACTGTTGCGCTTTCATTTTCTCTTGAGAAAGTGTTCTTTTATGCTTTTGTCTTTTGAGGGCGACTGTGCTATGTAGCTTTGGGTGGCCTGATACTATATAGTCTGGATTGGTTTTGATCTTGGCAATCCTCCTGGCTCAGCCTTTAGCTGCCAGTGCTGAGATCAGGACATCAGCCTCCACTCTTGGCTTCTCTTTTATTTTTCTACTGGGCTTTAATTTATTTTCATTAAAATTTTTGTTTGTTTGTTTTTATTTTCTATTCAGCTATGTAACACGATATTAATAGTGTTAATATAAAAGAAACACTAACAAGGTTTCCATTTCCAGTTTAGGAGACGGGGATGGAACGAAATGTTTTATTGAAAGACTGTTGTAATCTTTCATCTATTTTCTTATCAGTAAAATTAAGTAATAAAACATTTTCTTTAGTGTGGTAGTGTTTGTGAATAAATGAATGGCAGTTATTATAATGTCTTGCTGATTTGGAAGGTGACCCTTAAACTTAAAATTTTAATCTGTTTTAACAGCAGATTTTATGGTAATGGTTTTCCTATTACATACTACTTCTGATGCTTTTTAAACTTGTTTAGGCTCGAAAGGACTCTGAAGAGGGAGAATCATTTTCATCTTTCCAAGCTGATTTAAGCAAAGCAGAAAAACATAAAAGCCCTAATAAAGGTAATGCTAGCAGAGTAATTGAGAGCACGTACTCATCTCTGTTGAAGAGAATACTTGGTAACTTAGCTTAAACATTCTTTTCACTGATTGTTGGGTGGACATTTCAGAGAACTGTGAGAGTGTACTCCATTTAGGTAAAGATGCTCTTAGGCTTATTATCTTAGAACTCTTAGGTAGTTCTACTTCAAGGCTATGTCAGAGGTTGGACCCTGTCATAGTGAAAACTGCAGGCTGTTTCTAGTCTTTGAGTGTTGGCAGCATGGCACAGTGTGGAGCATCTCACTGCTGGTGCCCCGTATCTCTAGAGGGCACTGAATCCATGAATGTAGGACCCATAGAGATGGCGGGCTGATTTACAGCCACAGTCTTGTAAAATCAGACCTCAAAATTGGCCGTGTTTTTCTGTTGAACACGTGTTTCTTTTGCACTATTATAAAGTTGAACAGTCCTAAGTCAAAGATCATCTGTGCTTTGAAAGCTGTGTACTAGCTGGTGGAGAATGTCCTTGTTCACTTAGTGCCCTGAAAAGTGTATTTAGGTATGCTCGACTCGTTAATTTCTGAGTGTATTGCGATATGTGGACTTTGGTGTGTGAAGATCAAGAAGCAAATGCCGTGAGCCTTTCCTGTAGAGGTGGTGTCGCGGAGTTTGCCTCTTGATTGTCCGTAGCATCTGAAGCTCTTCAGATTATCTCGGATGGCCTGTTCTGTAATGGTCCTGAGCCTGAGCCATGTACTGCTAGAGTCACCCTTGCCTTTTCTGTTTACTTGGCAGTACCAGGGGTTAAACCTAGGGCCTTGCACATGCTGCCTGGTGCTCTGTTCCTGCACTGTGTTCTCAGCCCTTTCTTTTTACTTTGAGATAGGGTCCTACTGGGTTACCCGGGCTGGCCTTTAATCATTCTGTACCTCAGCCTTAAATCTGCAATTTTCCTGCCTCTGCCTTCTGGGCAGCTGGGATACAGACCTGTGGCCCAGATGCCCACTCATTATCTATGAAAGGTTGGCTTCACAACCCATGTGGGTCCCCATGTCTATGGGGACTCAAGCTTTTCATGCAAAAAGTATAGAATTTGCATATAATTTACAGACAGCTTGACTTCCAGTATGCTTTAAACCATCATTAGATTATTTCATACAGTGTAATGCTATATGTAAATAGCATGCTGTATTGTTTAGAGAACAGGGATCAGGATAAAGTGTACATGGTTTGTGCATACACAACTAAAATATTTTATGTAAATAGTTGTATGCTTGAGTATGGAGCCTGTAGATGTGAAGGACTAATAGATGATCTAGTTAAAGAGGAGGGAAATCTACGTCTGTAATACCTTTTGGCTTTGATAATTCAGGATTGGAGCTTTCGTGCTGCTTCACAAAATTCTCTGAAACGTATTCAGGCCATTAAGTTTTGTCTCTAATTCTTATATCTGTGGAATGAAATCTTTGTTCACATGTTGGATTGAATTTGGGCTTTGTGCATTTGTGGACAGGTACTGTATTATTGCGCTACATCCATATCGTTCAGTGTTGTTTACAATAATATATTAAATGGATAGTTTAATTTAAAAGGACAGCTCTCTCAATTTTCTACTGGTTACAAGAGTATTATGTAAGTATTTAAGGTTAAAAAATAAGTATGCTATGTGAGCTAGAGCAGTAAATGTTTGGAAATCATGTGATATTTTGTGGTACTAAAATCACATTGTTAAAAGTTGAAAAATAAAAATGTTGGCGTTGGCCAGCAGTGGTGGCACATTTCTTTAATCCCAGCTCTTGGGAGGCAGAGGCAGGTGGACCTCTGAGTTTGAGGCCAGGCTGGTCTACAGAGTAAGTTCCAGGACAGCCAGGGCTACATAGAGAAAACTTGTCTCAAAAAAAAAAAAAAAAAAAAAAAAGTTGGTACTAGATTCTCCAAATAACAGTCATTTTTTTTCTTCTTTGTAAAAGCAGAGCATTTCTTAAATGAAAGGAAGACCTATAGTCCTGCTAAGCCTGGCAAGGGCGGGAGGCCAAAGGCAGCTCCGGAGCCCTGCCGGTCACCAGCTCATCAGAGGAAAGCCTCTTCTTCCCCCAAGGCCAGTTCCAAGCTAGCACTTATGAAAGCCAAAGAAGAAAGCTCCTACAAAGAAGCAGCGTTGATGGCCACAAAAAGAAAAGAGAGTGCTATTGACCTTAAAGAAGAGAAAAAAACTCCTAAGAAAACCAAAAGTTCTCCAGCTAAAAAGGAGGTAGGAACTTTTGAAAAGTATGTGCCAAGAATATTCACTGTTAGTATGCAAAATGAGCCAATATGTATTGCTATTGTATATTGCTGAGAAATTGCTCAGATTCATGCATTATATTTTATAATCTTCACAGTAACTTTGGAGATATTTACTCTGTTATAAAGAAACAGGCTAAAAGAGTTTAAGTAGCTTCCCCAAAGTTACCTACCTGTGGTCCTCAAAACCATAGAAAGAATACTCTTTGTTTTCAGCTATATTTAAGAAGATAATGGTCTTTCTGAATCTCTAGTGTGGAAGCATTTTAGATTTATAAAGAGAAACCACAGTTCCTTCTTGCCTCTTAGGCACTAAACATTAAAGGCAGAGCTAGTCTTGAGCTCTCTGTTGACAAAGTAGCAGTGTGAGCACTGAGGCTTCAAGCAGTCTGGAGCCAGTTTTTGATCATAGCCCTCTTCTGAGCAGATGTATGAGATGCTCTGGCGACGTCTCGATGTATGCATAGAAAAGAGATAAGGATATGTATTAGGCACCATCAAGGTGGCTCAGTGGGGAACCGTGTTCTGCAGGAGTTCTGTCCCTGGGACCTACATGGTAGAAGGAGAGAATGGCTCCCATAATTTGTTCTCTGACCTCCACACATGCTGTGGCATACATACCCTCCACCCCAGTAAATGAAATAAAATTTAAAAAAAGACATGGGAATGGTTAACATATAAAACCATTTACAGCACTGCCTGGGATGGGAATAAATGGTATAAATGTTTCAGCTATTTTTATAATTTATAATTGGCATCTTGATTTGCTCCGAACTTTTTTTTTTTTTTTTTTTAAACAATGCTTAGGTACTGAGATAAATTTCGAAAACCCAAACGGTGAAAGGATGCTTTTTAAAAGCCTTCTCCCCACCCCAATCTTGGTGATACAGGTCTATAATTCCAGTAACTTGAAAGATGGAGCCAGAAGAATCTCAAAGTTAAGGTCTGCCTGAGTACAAAGTTAGGCCCTCAGAACCACAAAAAGAATTTTCTTTGTCTTCTGATATATTTTAAAAGATAATGGTCTTTTTGAACCTCCAGTTTGTAATCACTTTAGATTTACAAGGAGAAGCCATCATTCCTTCGTGCCTTTTACCATTAAAGGCAGAATAGTGTCTATTTTAACTGCTCATCACCATTCTGTATATGGGTTTATATGTATGTGTACACATAGAACCATGAAATGGTGATGATTTTGAAATAATTTTATTTGTGGGAAATGCTCATAAATATGCTTGAAGTGTCACTTAATTTTTTGGCTCCAGATTTTTTTTCACTAAATATTTATCTGGTGGAGTTTTTTCTTCAGGTACACTGAGTGCATGGGCAGTTTACAGAGGTGACTATTTTAGGGGTAGGAGGAAATGAAAGTTTAAAAATTGGTCTGTTATTTTTATGATATTTTTTAAAGTTGGGCTAGAAATAACTGAGAACCTGTGTTTAAGTAGTTGGGGGCATCATAGTTCAGTAAATTCAGTCGATCTTAGATCATTCTGACAGAGTGAGTGCGTGTGCTTCTGTTCTTTTATAGCCAGGTGTGCAAAATGTCATCCCACACTCAGGGGGCTGAGGGGGAAAGACTGACAGGCCAGCTTCTGCTGCATAGTGAGACCTTGTTGCAGAGCAAATGAAGAGGCAGTCAGGCATGTGGACGGTTCAGAGTTGTTTTTATTTCAGACTTTTACAAAGTAGAATTGCTATTACAAATGGATAGCATTTCCAATTGGTATATGGAACTGTCTTTTGAAGCTTGTTAAAAATATGGCTTCCCAGGGCACATGGTCTAAACAGCTATAATTTGATAAGCCCTTCTGTAATTTGAGTAGACCTTTGAGTGAGTGGAGAGCTATTGTTAAGTAGGATTGGCCCCAGATATGATGATATATGCCATTAATCTCAGCACTCAGGAGGCAGATGTAGGTAGATCTCTGAGTTCAAGACCAGCCTGGTCTACATAGTGAGTTCCAGGCCAGCCAGAGCTGCATAGTGAGTCCCTGTCTCAACAGCAACAGCAGCAACCACCTTGGATCCTAGGATCAGTTGCAATAGTTTATTTAGCTCCTAACCAGCTGAACTATCTTATTGGTTACATTACTTATTTGTACAAAATAATATGTTGTCTATTTCAAGAGGTTTGTTGTTACTTGTAAGTTATAAGCAATATAAAATAGGAGTTGGAAAAAAATAATGATATGGTGTTATATTTCTAAAATTATTTAGGCGGCCCCTCCCCAGTATACATGTCCCAGACACACCCAGTATTTCTGAATCAGAAACCTGGAAGTGGCTATTTTTTATATATATATATATATATATATATATATACATACACACACACACACACACATAACTATGCACACACACACACATGTATATGTATGTTTGTATAAAAATTATATGTAATTCTTTCTAGGCACATTTTCATTTTCTTTTCTTTCCCTGTACCCAAAGTCTGTAAGTCCAGAAGATTCTGAAAAGAAGCGCATTAATTATCAAGCTTATCGAAGCTACTTGAATCGAGAAGGTCCCAAAGCTCTGGGCTCCAAAGAAATACCCAAGGTAAGATTCACGAGGAGTGTGCTACTCTATAAGGGCCCTGCCTCATGTCCGGGTATGCACTCACTGCCATGTCAGCAAAGAGTTAATAAACCAACAGAAGAGTCTCTGCTGCCGTTTTATGGATTAGAAGTTTTATTCACATTGTGACTCACTGGTGGACACTTAGATATTTTCCTTTATTTAAAACAAGTAGTTTGAGAAGGGTGGGCTTTTCCATGCACTGGTGTAACTCAGAGCTTAAAGAAGAGCATGGTAAATGCATTATATTTGATAGTAGTTGCGTTATGTGCCATGAGAGGAAAGTCCCAGGTGCCCTTAGAGGTATAGTAGAGAAAAATGTATGGTCTAGGGTGGATCGTTGAGATCTGTGGCTCTCAACTTTCCTAATGCTGCCATCCTTTAATAAAGTTCCTCATGTTGTGATGACCTCAACCATGAAATTACTTTTGTTGCTACTTCATAACTGTAATTTTGATATGGTTATGAACAGTAGTGTAAATATCTGATATGCAGGGTCTCTTGTATACCACCCCTGTGAAAGGGTCATTCAAACTCCCAGAGGGTCGAGACCTGCAGGTTGAGAACCACTGCTTTAGACAATAAAATTGAAATGGGGATTTGAAGAATGAAGAGGCGTCATTAGGTGTGAAGAGGTGATGATGGCATGGGATCGTGGTCATATGTGTGGCATCTTTGAAGAGAAGAAGGAATTTGCATGGGATATTTGAAGAACTCAAAGAAAAGTACTGTAGTTGGTGCAAACTGACCAAGGACTGAGAGTGGCTAAAGCAAATAGGGACATAGTTTGTAGGGCCTGACGTTCTGGACTTCTGTCTAAAAAGAGGTTTCTTTTTTGTTTTGTCTTTTTAAATTTACTTCTTTGCTGTTGTTTAAAATTTTTTTTTTTAATTTTACATGTATGGGTGGCTTACTGGCATGTATGTACATGCATGTCTGGTCCCCTCAGAGGTCAGATATTCTGGACCTATGTGACTGAGTGTTATGATATGTCATGTTGTGAAGGTTCCAACAGAAAGAAGAACTCCCTTGCATGTAGTAACGTGAATGATGACGGTCCTTCAGGCCCTCAGCAGGAGTAGGTGGAGCAGAACTGACGCTGTGGCTTGATGGAGAACGGGCTGGCTCTCTCTTGCTGGCTTTTGGGACCTTTTCCTCATACTGGGTTGCTTTATCCAGCCTGAACACAAGGGGAGGTGCCTAGTCTAACTGAAACTTGATTTGCTATATACCTGGGAGGCCTGCGGTTTTCTGAAGAGAAATGGAGGAATGGAGGAAGAGTGGATTTGGGGAGGGGCAGAGGAGAGCTGGTTGGGAGGGGACTGACTGGGAGGACAGGAGGAAGGGGAAGTTGGAGCTGGGATGTAAGATGATGATGATGATGATGATGATGATGATGATGATGATGATGATAATAATGAGTATGACGTGACAAATGCACACAGCTATTTTTGGTAAGTGTGGTTGACAACTAGAAATGGAGAGTGGGATTTAAGGGAAAAGCTAAATGTTTTTGAGGCAGGCAGTACTTAAGGTAGGCTTTTGCTGATGGGATAGATCTTCCCAGAAAGGTAAGGATAACTGTACTGTGGGACTTCTGAGAAGGGAGGAGATATATTCGGTATACATGTAAATTTAATTTTCATTTTGCTTGGTACACATGGCTGCATAAGTCCCTCTACTGAAGAGTTGGTGGCTAGTGGGGAGGGAAAGGGGCTGGAGGAAGAGGGCAGCCTTTCTCCTGCACACGATGGAAAACTGAGAGACTACACAAAGTGCCTGTTTGAGAGAACTTGTCTCTCAAATGGTGTCTTAGAGTACTGCTGTGTTTCTCTAACAGCAAAGCTGTGAGGGAATGCTGAAGAGGTTCAGGCTGCTGGTAGTTTTCTGGAGTCAGAGCTGTAGAGGAGTCCTGTCCAGGTCCAGAGGGTGAGCACTCAGGAGACAGTAGGCTGGGCTTTGAGATGCAGGCACTTCTTGAGGTGGAGTTTCCCAGGGTGATTTGGAATCTGTTGAAGATTTAATAATTTATTTCAGGCCTGGAAACCAAGGGACCGAATAGCTATTTTTTTCCTTTCTGAGTGGATAATAACTATTCTTTCCTTCCTAGAAAGGTTCTTTAGGTGGAGGGGAAATGATCAAGCTTTATGCTGAGGCATTCTTTGAGTTTTGTTTAGCTTCTTTTTAAGACTTTTTCATCTTTACCAGTCTCAATTCTATTCAGAGTAATAAGGAACATGTCACATGTATAATAATCATTTTGCTTGGCTATATAAGTTAGCTGATCTGTTATAAAAACTAAAAAATTCTATAGCCATACAGAGTTTCAGTTCAGATTTACATAGAGAGAAGCCAGGCCAGCTCTTAGATTACCAGTTTTCTTTCCAGTGGGGATGAGTGTGCGTTCCTGCCTTTCTGTCCGTCTCAGTTTCTCAGCTTTCTGTCAGTGGGGTAATCTGCAGAGGGAGTGGTGAGAGCTCAAGCTTGGTAAACTGGCCTTAAACCAGCAGCAGGAACTTCAGTGGGCGGATTACATTGGATTGTTTATTTACCAAAGTTAGGAAAGCTCTTCACTGATTTAAATATAGACAGTGCAGACTAGCACGAGTAGGTAATTTAATCTTGCTAACAGTATGTTCCTCCTCATTCATTTGGTATCTGTTAAATGTTAGCTACATAGGAACCATCCAGGATATACTTTGAGGTTCTGCTGTAATTTCCTAGCCAGGTTTCATGCTGGGGTTGTTTATGATGTTGAGTGAGAAAAGTCAGCTTGTTGCAGCTTGGCTGCCAAATATTCTTTGGAAAGCTACCCTGTAATTTCTTCTCTGCTTGAACATTTTGGTTTTGTAGGGAGCTGAAAATTGCTTGGAAGGCCTGACATTTGTGATCACAGGCGTCCTGGAGTCCATTGAACGGGAAGAAGCCAAGTCTCTAATTGAACGTTACGGGGGGAAAGTCACAGGAAATGTGAGCAAGAAAACCAACTACCTCGTCATGGGCCGGGACAGCGGGCAGTCCAAGAGTGACAAGGTGGGTCCTGCTGGCTCTTTCCACAGAGGTGCCTGCCTGCCATGACATGCAGAGTGTGGCTGTTGTGGTAATGTCCCAGCCACCGTTTCAGTGAACAAAGAAAAGGAGAAAGCTTCTGCAGATTTGTCTTACACCATATACAGCGCTGTCGGCTAGGGCTACAGATTTTTTATTTTTATTTTTTTAATTAAAAGCATAGTTGCTGTTTATTTGACTCTCTTTGTATATTCTAGTTTAAAACTGAAAAAAAACATTTTTAATGTAGAAACATGCAGTTTTGTTTTTTTACTTTGAAGTTTTCTGATATATACCACTATATATACTTCGTGTTAAGTTTTATTATTGGAAGCTGTGTGAGGAAGAAGCAGAGGTCTGTGGGGAAGTAAGAGGACACCTGGCTAATTGTTTTCCTTGCCCCAACAAGAATTCCAGAGCAATCACTTGGCTGTTGCAATAGCTCAGGAACTTTAACCCAGAGAAGCCACCACTTCTCTCAGCCTTAGGGGCAGCAAGCACGTTGCCTTGTGCTTGGGAGTAGCTGCCTTCCCAGCAGGACGAAGAAAGCAGTGGTGACGGTCATTGTGGCTGGGACTGGTTTTACAGGCTCTGTCCCAGGAACACTCTAGAAGGCTACCTCATTGGTTGAAGAGAACAGGGCTTCTGACCAGGTGGGCCTGTGCAAGTCAGTTTCACTTGGAGCTGGACACCCTGCAGTCCTGCTTATCGGAAGGTGGTGGGAAGTGACTGCCACGGGAGTCTGACATAAGAGGAGATGGTAATAGCTTTGTTCCTTTCTAGGGCAGCGAAGGTAAATTAGCACAAAAGTAGTCATGCCACACTACGCTAGTTTGCACTCACCGCCTGAGCAGGTTAGTTTTAGTCAATTCAAAGCTAGAGAGATTTTGGAAGAGGGAACCTCAATTGAGAAATGCGCCCACTAGATATGCCTATGGTGAATTTTCTTGATTGATGATTAATGTGGAAGGGCCCAGCTCACTGTGTGTGTGAGCTGTTGGTCCTGGGTGCTATGAGAAAGCAGATTGAGCAGACTGTGAGAGGTGAACCAGTAAGTAGTATTCCTCCATGGTCTCTTCATCAGTTCCTGCCTCGAGGTTCCTGCCCTATTGGAGTTTCTGTCCTCCTCCCTGTCCTCAGTGATGGACTGTGCTGTGAAACTTTAAGTGAGTTCCCTAAGTTGCTTTTGGTTATGTGTTTTCTCACAGCAATAGGAACTGTAACTAAGGTACCACTCTTACGGAGCTTGCTTGCTTGCTTGTTTGTTTGTTGGTTATTTGATGGTGCTAGACATTGAACCCAGGCCTTTGTCCATGCTAGAGAGGTGTTCTACCACTAAAATACGTCTTTAATACTTGGTTTCTTGCAATGAAAAGAATCTTGCCAATCCACGTGGTGATGGTGCCAGATGGTGATGGCGCACACCTTTAATCCCAGCACTCAGGAGGCAGAGGCAGGTGGAGCTCTGGGAGTTCGAGTCTAGCCTGGTCTACAGAGCAAGGCCAGGATAGCCAGGGCTACACAGTGAAACCCTGTCTTAAATAACAACAACAACAACAACAAAGGATCTTGCCATATTGCCTAGGCTGGTCTTAAACTCTGGTCCTCCTGCTTCTGGTTCCTGAGTACTGGCATTACAGGAGTGCAGTGCCATGAGTAACCACCTTTCCATCTACTGTCTATATTTTTTGACGAGTTTTTGCTCTGTAATCTCAGCTGGCTTCAAAGTCTGTATCCCTCTGCCTTTCAGTCATTTTGTGTGTGTCTATGTCTCAAATGCTTGTGCCTGTGCCCATGCATGGGCACATGTGTGGTGGCCAGAGGAGGGTGTTAGATGTCTTTTCCTGTTCTCCACCTCCTTATTCCTCGAGAATGTTACTGAACCTGGGGCCAAGTTGGTGTTCAGGAAGCCACCTGTGTTTCCCCCTTGCACAGGGCTGTAGCTGCAGTACATACATATGCAGCCACGCCCAGCTTTTTAGGTGCCACTGGGGATTTGAACTCAGGGTCTTTTGCTTGTGCACCCAACGAACTTAGCTATACCCCAGTTCCCCAATTTCATTGTTCTTATTTTTAATGGTATTTTTTAAAAAGTTAAAACCGTATGTAAAGAATTTGTAAATATTTTGTAGTGACATTATCCAGACTCACAGTCTATACATCTTAGAGGAACTTACATACAATTCCAACCGCCATTCTGAAGCTGTGCAGCTTCATGCTGGACTTTGTACTTTTACCATCAATTATATTTTTTAATGTCCTTCCCCACACATATAGACCATATAAACAGAAAAACCGAAAAATCAGCAGCAGAGTTAAAATTAGGAAAACAATTAGCCATATAACTTTTTTTATGATTCATATATCCATTGTTGGATTTCATCCTTAATGGTAACTTTCTGGTGATTTTTTTTCTTTCTTTTTTTTGGTTGGGGTTTAGCAGGTAAGAGCACTTGTTGCTCTTAGAGAGGACCTGGGCTCCATTCTTAGCACCCTCGTGGCCACTCACAGCTTCCCATAATCCCAGTTTTAGGGACTCTGAAGCCTTCTTTAGACCTCCTTGTACGCTAGCTGCACTCAGGGTATATAGACGTGCACATGAACAAGCACATGTGTAAAATCAAGGAAACCTTAAAAATAATGAATTCCAGTGCTACTTATTTATAGTGGGGTTCTTTGTCTACCAGTAGTCCTTAAAATGACTTTTCCTCTACAGAAAGTAGTAAGTAGTGCTTCGGATGCAGTTCTGATGACTTGTACTTTAATCAACAGGCAGCAGCTCTGGGAACAAAAATCCTTGATGAAGATGGCCTGTTGGACCTGATTCGAACTATGCCAGGCAAGAAATCCAAGTATGAAATAGCTGCTGAAGCTGAGGTGTGTACCTGGTTTATTGAAGTGGGCATATAGGACCTCCTGGTCGATGGAGATGCGTGAGAGAGAGATGGCACTGTTGGCTAGACTTCAAACTGCCCTGTGCTACGGCGAATTCACTCTTTTGACCTGGAAGACTGTCTTTAGTATTTCTTTGCCTTTCAGGGGAGGAGGGAGGGAGGATGTCTTAGTTAGGGTTTCATTGCTGTGAAGAGGCACCATGAGGATAGCAACTCTTGTAAAGGTAAACATTTAATTTGGGACTGGATTATAGTTTCAGAGGTTTATTCACGGCAGAGAGCGTGGCAGCATGCAGCCAGACATGGTGCTAGAGAAGGAGCTGAGAATTCTGTCTCGATCCACAGGCAGCAGCAGGAGACTGTGTACCACACTGGATCTTGTAGCTTGAGTGCAGTAGGCCTCAAAGCCTCCCCCCGGCCCCCCACAGACCACACTCTAACAAGGTCACAGCCCCTAATAGTGCCAATCCATGTGGGCCAAGCATTCAAACACATGCATCCAGGGGACTATACCTATTCAAACCACCATGTTGTACTCCCTGGCCCCACAGGCTTGTAGCCATAAGGTAATGCAAAATGCATTTAGTCCAACCTCAAAAGTCCTGTAGTCTGTTACAGTCTCAACAATGTTTAAAAGTCCAAAGTTCAAAGTCTCTTTTCTGATATTCATGCAATCACTTAACTGTAATCCCCTATAAAATCAAAATCAGATCACATACTTTAAACATACAATAGCACATTTTAAATTGTAGGGAAGGGAGCAAGACCAAAAACTAGCTGGGAAAACTTCAGACTCTGCAGCTTCATGTCTGCTGTCAGAGGGCTCTTCAGATCTCCATTTTGTTGACTGTAACACACTTATTTCTCTTGGGCTGGTTCCACTTACAGTTAGTAGCTTTTCTTAACAGGTATCCTACAAGTCTGCCATCTCTAAACTCTTGGGGTCTCCAAGCAATCTAGCTTTAACTTCATAGCTTCACACAGTGGCCTTTCACAGATTCACACAGTAGGCTCTCTGGCCTCTATGCAGGGACATCTCTGCCACATGCCCGGCCTCAGCAACTCTCTTTAGTTGGAGGGAGATTCTATAACCCCTTTCTTCTCTCCTTGACTGTAACAGCGTGGCTGCAGATGCTTGCCAGGGATGGAACATGGCCCCTCTTTCAGTTACATTTTCACCAGCTTTCTGTTTTCAGTGGTTTCTTTCACCGTCCAAGTTTGGCTGTCCTGGAACCTGCTCTGTAGATCAGGATGACCCTGAACTCAGAGATCTGCATGCCTCTGTCTCCTGAGTGCTGGGATTAAAGGCCTGTACCACCATGCCTGGACCTAAACTGGTCTTTAATTCTTTTTCACAAGAGAAAAGCTTAGCTGGGGGGGGGGGGGGGGAATCTTGCCCTGAGATTAAATATAAATTAATATATTTAATCTGTTTATGAACGATATGTTTCATATTTTTCCTTGCTCAGCTTTGCTCCTTTTCATCAAAATGCTCTCTTATAAGAGTGAACACTATTAACCATAGGACAGAGTCTATACTAGGCTGTTGTGAGATTTCCTTTGCCAACGCAATTAATCTGAATCTTTTCACTTTATCTTCCGGCAGACGTATCTCAAGGGCAAAACCCAGCCATGTTCTTCACCAAAATATCACAAGAGTGATCTCTAAGGAACACTAAAATTCTCCTTTGAAATCTCTTGAGCCAGGCCCCCACAGTTCACATGATTGCTAGCATTACTGTCTTTTGTGGTTCTACTATTATGGCCTGTTAAGCATTGTAGTTCTTTCTTAAAACAAAGTCCCCAAATCCACATTCCTCCAAACAAAAGCATGGGTCAGGCCTGTCACAGCAATACTTCAGCCCCTGGTAGTTAGGGCTTCTTTGCTGTGGAAAGACAACATGACCACAGAAACTGTTGTAAAGGAAAACATTTAATTTGGGCCTGGCTTACAGTTTCGTTATTGTCATGGCAGAAAGCATGTTGGCATGCAGGCAGGCATGGGGTTAGAGAAGGAACTGAGAGTTATATATCTTGTCCCAAAGGCAGCAGAAGGAGACTGTGCCACACTGGGCATAGCTTGAGTACAGGAGACCTCAAAGCCTGCCCCCACAGTGACACACTATAGAGAGAATTGTGTAATTTTGGTTTCTTTAAAGCCACAGAAATAAAGCCAGGCATAGTGATGCACACCTTTAATCACAGTACTTGGAAGGCAGAGGCAGGTGGGTTTCTGTGAGTTAGAGGCCAGCTTGTTCTATCAGGGCATGGTTTTGCCTGTTGCAAGTAGTTTCTGCAAGTGTGTGAGGTTTGGGATTCTGGGAACTTTTTCAGAGGCTATATGCTAGACCCTGAGAGGCAGGGTTGCTGTGGCTGCTGGTTGGTGGTTGGATCCTGTTGATTGCTGTTTGTCAAGTAGTTGTGTGCAGAGAAGAAACAACAACAAGAAGAAATTAGATGTCCTGATGTTGAAGATCAAACTTACCTGAAGGAACTTGACACGCCCAGTCAGTAGGAAGTAGTTCTAGGGCTAACCTCAGCCTCTTTTTCTTCTCTCCTTTTTTTTTTTTTTTCTCTCATATCTAGTGTTAGGGAGTTAAAAGGGGAGAAGGGTGGAAGAGAGTAAGGAATCTACATTTCTTAGATCATTCTGCTATCTACCTGCCTGCCTGTCCACATGCAGGACACAGGAGTGGACAATAATCTTGCATGCCAATGTGACAAGATGGCCCACCTTGTTTATTCCAGTGGAAAAGTTCTAGGGGTCCTGTTGCAACAAGTAGGGAATGCTGTTGCTCTTTGCGGTTAACCTCAGGGTGCGTGTCCGCTCCACTGCACACTGCTTCCTGTTGTCCTCTCTCTGCTCCAGACCCTACACTGTATTGACCTGTGCTGCCTCAGCCTCCTCCAGCCTAGGGTAGCTCTGTCTTCGCTTAGTTTCTTCTGGTCATTTGGTTGTAGAATGTCTGTCATGGCATTGTGCGATGTTTCTCACAATTAAATTGTGTTGCTCAGCTTGGCAGTAATACCACAGGGTGATATTATTTCCTGCTGAGTGTGTCTCACGTACATGATATCAATATATCTTGATTACTTGGTTGGAGATAATGTCTGCAGGTCTTCTCCATGAGTGGATGACTTTTTGCTTTATCACTGATAGCTTTCTTGAATGGACAGTTACCTTGAATCTCCAGAAATCTCCTCCCTAAATGGCCATTTGTAAGTTCTGGCATTACTGGAAGGCCTTTAACTGTTAGGAATTTAGACATTGTTTATGTGCCTTACAAACCTACCTGTTTATAGCATAATTCACATCTCTGCAGTGATCATTGCTATCTAACTAAAAAATTATGCTTATTTATTTTTGATTGTATGTATTTCTGCGTCTGGGCACACAGTGTGCATGTGGAGGTCAAAGGACAGCTTGCTTGAGTTGTTTTTCTCCTTTCACAGTGTGGGCTCTGAGGCTTGAACTCGGGTCTTTAGGCTTGTTGGCAAGCACCTTTACCCACTGAGCCATCCTGTTGACCCAATTACTGTATCTAATCCGAACATCACTACCTCCAAAAAGAAATCCTATACTTATTCATAGTCGCTTGTCATACCCTCTGCCTGATGGTTGCTATACTGCTCACTGTTTTATGGATTTGCCTATTTTGGACATTTCGTGTAAGTAGAGTCATACTATATGTGACTTTCTGTTGTTAGCCATTTCACTTTTTATAATGGCTTCAAGGCAAACCAAGCTGCATCATGTATTAGTACTCCTTCCTTTTACGATTGAACTATGTTCCATTGGGTGGCTCTTGGTTGCTTTTCGTTTCCCCAGTGCCCCAGGAGCTTTTCTGCTCTTTCATTTTACCACTGTGGTGTGCATGTGCACCACATAACACGCTGCTGACTAGGCAGGTGCTGAGGGGACACTGGCTTTCGTCGTCAAGGGTGTTAGCACAAGTTGTTGCTGGCTCTGTGACCCTGTCTTTTCATTTTAAAAGTGACCACTGTATTCTTAGCTTCCTGTGCATATTGTTAATGTTTATAACTAGTCACACACCAGTGGTCCATTGTGACAGGAGCAGCCTAGATGGAGTAGCTCACTTGGCTATGCCACTTTGCTTCTGGGTATGCGTAGCAGGATAGAAATCTTCATCTTTTTTTCTTCTTCAGATGAAAAAAGAAAAGTCCAAATTGGAGCGAACACCCCAAAAAAATGACGACGGAAAAAGAAAAATTAGTCCAACCAAGAAGGGGTCAGAGTCTAAAAAGAGCAAGCTGACTCCCCAAAAGGACAGTCCTGCAAAAGCAATGAAGAAGGAAGCAAATGTGCTTCGGAGGGGCCTGGACTTCAAGGAGCAGGCAGTCGAGGAGACGAGCGCCCACAGCAGTGGGAGTGTGGTGGAGAGCCTGCTTTGGGTGGATAAGTACAGGCCCACCTCGCTCAGGAACATAATCGGACAGCAGGGTGACCAGAGCTGTGCCAACAAACTGCTGCGCTGGCTCAGAGACTGGCACAAGAGTTCTCCTGAAGAGAAAAAACATGGTGATTGCACAGCTTTAGTCATTTTATGTATGTCTGTCAATATGTAATGGTCTTTGCATGCGTGGGCAAAGGCTCATGCTGGGTTACCTGTCAGCAAGTATTTAGTGAGAGCTTGTGCAGATCCCAAGTTCTGTACTAGGCTCTGGTAGTGCTTCTGCAGGCCCTTCGGGAGCCCCCAGAGAGTGGGGGAGACTGAATCAGCTGTTAAAATGCATGTGCCAAGTACTATTTTAGAGGTAAGTACAGGGAGCTCTGCTGTGTAGTCAGGAAGAGGACTTGGAGCCCAAATAGCAGACAGCTAGGTGAAGGGAAGTGGGTGTGGCATTGGGCTGGAAGAACAACCAGTCCCAGCATCTGAAGGCCTGAGAGAGAGAGAGACCACTGAGAGTGCTCAGGGTCCTCAAGGGAAAGGCATGAAGCTGGGTTTGCATGGGCACAGTGGTCTAAAGGCCAACTACATGTGTGGTTGGCTTTTGGTAGTGCAGTGGGCTGGAACTCTATTCTCGGCGCTTTGGGAAGTTCACGAATGGTTTTTGCTGTTCTGGAGTACCTGAAAGATGGTGCATGCTAATGGTCTGGAACTTCTTTCCCCTAGCAGCAAAGTTTGGCAAACTTTCCAGCAAAGATGATGGCTCCAGTTTCAAAGCAGCACTGCTCTCTGGCCCTCCAGGTGTTGGCAAAACCACTACAGCTTCTCTTGTGTGTCAGGTGGGTGCACTGCCATAGTGCAGTTGGAAAGGCAAAACCTTGTATTGCTCAGATACCT